AACCAAAACCAAAAAATTAACCTAAATTAAACTAAACTAAAACAAAAATAAACTAACTAAACTAAACTAAACCTAAACTAAATTATAGTAAACCTAATTAAACTAAATCTAAAAAAATCTCACCTTCGAGCGGCCGGGGTGGTGAGGCGAGTAGGCGAGGCGGGCCGGCGGGGCATCCGGGGTGAGGCGGGCCGGCGCGTGATATGTCCATTTCGCATCATGTTTTCTTACTGTTATTTATAATGTTTTTATCCATAATAATGCTTTTTGGAGTAATTCTAATGCCTTTTCTCTCATAATTTGCAAGGTATACATCAAGAGGGAGAATTCTGGTAGCTGGAAATCTGGACCTGAAAAAGCTACATCAGGCTACCTATTCTGCACAACTCCAAACAAGTTGAAACTCCACAGGGAATTTTTATGGATTATTTAAGAAATATTGGAGCAAATATCTACCAGAGAGGGCCCACCAGGTGGGCACAACCCACCTGGGCACGCCAGCGAGCCCAGCACGCGCCCTGGTGAGTTGTGCCCTCCTCGGCCCACCTCTAGTGCCCATCTTCTGGTATACTAGTTGACCCGTTGCGCCAAATGGCGCAGAGACCGGCTAAAGCCATGTTGTCGATTAAAATAGTTTCATGCTGCAAGGGCCATCTATCAAACCATGCTATTTTTAAAACATGTTTATCATGCTACGAAATATGAGTTTGGAAAAAGAAAAGATTGTATAACATGGATAAGTTTAGTCTGAAAATATGCTTATCATGTAAGAAACCTAAGTTAAAATAAGCGCAGACATGGATGTATTTATTTAGCAGTGGTTACACCAAACTTTTACCAGTTGTGCCAAATGGCGCAGAGACCCATTTGAATTCATGTGCTCGACGAAAATATTTGCATTTTCAATAACTTTATGCTTGAGCAAATACACATGATAAGAATTTAGATCGCTTTATATAAATCAAAATTAGATAGCCTCCTGGCAAAGATTTCTTTCAATAGCAATGTATTTCACATAACATTTTAATGCACACAATCCTTTTTACATGTACTATGAGCAAGGACAGAGCCAAAACTAAGGTCCCCAAGGAAATGCAACACTTTTCTTGGTTTCAAAATAACCGATCCATGAAGACGTCTGGAAGTATCAAACAGGAAAAGAACACAAGAAAAATAACTCTTTCCGTCTTTTCAGGCGAAAAACATCCAAACCATTTAGATAGTATTTGTACAACCTCTTTGCTCAAATCAAACCAAGCATCTTCCTTCACTTATTATGTTCAAGCACATTTGGAGATCAAACCCATAATTTACTAAGATATATCCAAACATGCAAAACTATTTCATCTAAACTCGGCCATATCATACAGACGTGATAGTGCATGCCACTTGTCCCAAACACTAAACATGGGAGTTAATTAATAGTAGTATGTACCTGCACTTCCAAGAAAGGTAGGAATTATTGAGTATTTCATAAAATGAAGAAAAGAAGTAGACCTGGAATTCATGTCTCTGTCTAACAGTCACCAGAAAAAACACTGAAATCTGGTCGTGTGAAGATTAATACATCACTGGAAAAATCTCAAATTCAACAATATAGAGTGGCTCTGAGTGGCTACCAACAAAACATCACCAACCAATTCACTAACTCAACTCAATGACAAGAACAAGCACACACGTGTGTACAGATGAGACATGTAGGAAATATTTTGAAGATGAACAAAAATGCATACAAATAGAAGCAGATATAAACAAATCATATACCTTGGCATTGACCAACTATTTCAAAAAGTTTCTAAGCCAAGAGGTCTTCTATCTTACCCAAGACATTATATATAGATTATGTCAAAAACGAAATGCAAGATTATGATTTTGATCTAGATAGGACTTGAACAAAAGTTATATAAATTAGGAATACTTTATATAAAATTACTACATGTTTCAAATATACTATGCACTTCATCATATCAAAGCTCTTGATCTTCTCATAATAAAACAAAAGGATATCAAGTGAGGTCGACATTGAGAAACTGCTGCAATTCTTATTCACTCGACACGAACAATAAAGGTCATTAAAAATGCATATAGGCATTCATGATGAAGAAATCAAAGCGAGGAGTTATTGACTTGTATCGTGCCGGATCAAGTGGAATGAAGTCGTATTGATGCCACAATAACATCGACCCCAAAATAAATTGACAATTTTTCTGACTTCGAAGAGTCATAATTATCTGTCGATCAAAGTTCAAGTTCCAAAGGTTATCAAATATAATAGTGAGAAAATTGTAAAGGAATGTAATTTTAGATAATAAAGACACACGGAATGGAACTTACATCTGAATTGTGATGTAACATCCCAAATTTTCAATTTGGAATGTTATACATAGATCATCATTGCATATCATATTTTATTGCATTTTGGCTTGATCCTAGAAATTCTACGCAACTCAAGGACCCACGGAGAGAGTTGGGGATTTCGTTATTTTCATATTTGAGTTTTCTCAAATTTTGAAAATAGGATCATTTGATTTTAATTATTTTATTTTCATATATTTCTTTTATAAAAATAAAAGAGAGGGAATAAAATGACTTTCCCAAAAATAAAGAAATATTGAAGATTTAATATTAAAAATCAAATAAGATTTTATTTCGGAGTTTTATCGCTATTTTATTTGAATTAGGAAAAATACGTGTTTTTTCAAAATTGCATTTTTAGGCCCAAATAAAAGTTTATCTTGTCCGGCTTTTTTTAGAGGACGGGGAAATTTTATTTCGGGATTTTTGGAGTCCGTTTAGTATTTCTTTTCTTTCTTTTCCTGCATGTCAGAATTATTTTAAAAAAGTCAAACCGACTCCGGGCCGCACCCGAGCGGGACTCCGCCCGTGGGGCTTTATAAGCCGGGGCCCCCTGCCCCAAAGCCCACACCACCGCCAGCCCACCCCGCGCCGAACCCTAGCCGCAGCCGCAGCCGCCGCCGGACCCCGCCGCCGCCGAACCCCGCCACCGCCGCCGTCGGATCTGCCGCCCCGCAGCCCCTAGTCGACCCCACCGGAGCCCGCCGCTGCCTCGCCAACCTCGCCGGAATACGCGCCGGACCCGAGGTAGCCGCCGCCGGTTTGTTTTTATAAAACTGTTCAGTTTTTTAAACCTAGATCCTTTTTTTATCGGTTCGTCGGCTTTTCTCGGTTTAATTTTTAGAGAACGCTTGTTCATTCGTTCATTTTAACGAACGGTTTCCACCTTTTAGCTGCAGACGGCGAACGTTCGTTCGTTAGCGTGTTCGTTCGTTTTTCTTTTTCACGGGTTTTTCGTGATTATTTTCGATCGTGATTTCGGATCCGATTTTGTTTTAGTATAACTTTTCACTCGTTTATCGGAATCAGCGATTCGAGTGCCTAGAGTTTTGTCTCGAAACCCTCTTTCCGTTTAACCAACTCAAACAAGTTTTTGTTCCTGTAAAATTTGACTTAGGTCCATATTAGTAAACGAAGCTTGTTTCTTTCGCCGTTTGAGTTTCGTTGCTTCGTTTGATTTGATTCTTTTTGCAAGCCGGAGTTCTTAAGTTGAACTTTCTGGTTAGATCTTGTATTTGAGTTTTACCCGTGCATTAGATGAGTGCTTATTGTATGCTTGTTTGTTTGTGATAGAGTACCTAGAGTGCGCAGCGTGCTACTACGAGTCTCTAGGTTTCACGGATCATCAGCAAGGCAAGTAACACTTTGATCATACCTCTTTACTACCCAGTATTATTGCATTAGAACAATCCTCAAACAATTTCATGGTTAGGATCTGATTACCATGTGGGTTTTGGGAAGTAGATGAGGTAGTACCTATGTCCTGTTTATTATCAAACCTTTGGGAGTTACTTCTACGTTTGCTTATATTGCTATGCTATGCTAGTAGATGTGGATTGGGTGAGTGTATCCATGACAGATGTGAGTTTGTTAATTAATGGTTCAACTTAAGGTGGCAACTTTAATACACATCTGGGTGGATTGAGGCACCTAGCGAACCTAGTGTTGCCTGTATTTTTGGAAATCCCGAGGTACCGTGTGATTTTCCAATGGACTGCCACCCAGGCTCAAAGGGATCATGAGATTATTCATGCTAGAAACTTCCGTGTGCAGCCGCAAGCTACTATGGGCTCTAGCATAGTTGATTAAGTCGTGTGAACTCTTACAGTGGTAGACTAGCAGATGTAGGGGAAAGTAGGTGTAACTGTCTACCCATCGTAAGGTGCTAACGCTTCTGAAAGACTGTGTCTCGATCATCCATTTCTCAAACACCATGTAGTGCAAGAAATCCAATGGAGGAGATCGGGTCTTGTGGGGAAAAGTGCGCAAACCTCTGTAGAGTGTACAAACTAATCATGGTTAGCCGTGTCCCCGGTTATGGACGTTTTGAGTATCTAGTATTTGGATTATCATGTGAATCTCATCATCTTTCTTAATTTAATTTGTTGGGTTTAATGTTTTTGCTTAATTGGGATTGAGTTGGGTGAACCTTCTCAATGTTTAACAACCACCATGATAGTTAAATAAAATTTATTCCTTTGTTGTAGGGAAAAATTGGCTTTATGCAAAACTGTAACCATAGAGCTTTCCACCAGCCATATATGCATGTAGTGATAGCTATATTCTATTCATTACACTCTATGTGTTACATTGCCAGTATATTCCATGTGCTAACCCGTTTTCGGGATGCAACGTTCATGTTGCAGACTTTTCAGACGACGAGTAAGGTGCCATAGGTCATGGTCTTATACTCAGTGATGCCGTTGGAGTTGATGGACTCACTTTATCTTCCAAGCCTTCCGTTGTTATTGTTATTAGATGGCCTTAAGCCATATTTATTGTAATAAGTTCTCTTTTGAGACATTCGGTGTAATAAGTGTGTGATTGCTACTCTGTTATAAATCCTTCAAGTATTGTGCGTGTCAGCATTACCGATCCAGGGATGACACTTATGCACAGAGATCAAAGTATTTGAGGTCTGGTCGCTACATGTGATCCAAAAAAATCTTCACGGTTACATCCTGCTTATGTTTATCATGCAATGGAGTCCCATGATCCATATAAAATAGATCGACATAAGCACCCCTAGAGAGCAAGAGTTCTACTATTTCACAATGCCCTAAATCAAATGTATAGAATATAACGTGAGTTAAGAAATTCTTATATGCTTCACTTTGTTTCTTTCAACTTTTATCAATGGAGTTATGAAATGAATCAATTTGTGACAATGCTCTATGCCAAATAAAATATATGATATGTTTTATACTTCATATTTTACGGCCTCATGTACAGTAAACTCCATTATGTCAGGATTGGCACCATGATCAAGATGACACCTGACAATATTCAAGTACCCAATTTTATCAGCAGTGATTGCCCAAACCATAGGTGTTCTACCTTCCAAGACCACAGGAAAGGAAGCTTATGCATTTACATTCAAAATTCAGAACAAATGAAGTTTTCTGAGCATACATTAAGACTTTCTATGTAACAAGGTCACGCTAAATTTGCATAGACACACCTGCTTGGTCAACAGCATCCACGTCCACCTGGACAACCTCAACAGGTATTCGCACACTTCCGCCATCTTGCACCCGGAGGCGAAGTGTAGTGCCCCAGCACCGTGATTCTTGACAGCTTGCACCATCTCCGTGAGATGGCCGTGACCACCTTCAATCTGCCTTGCCATCCTTGCACAGACAGATAAAATGATCAAGCCCCCAAGACATCCTCTGCTCTTTCCTCTCCAGCGGCTACACCAATAACAACACAGCATCAGGGACAAGAACAAAATGCATGTGTGTGTGTGTGTGTGTGTGTGTGTGTGTGTGTTTCTGACTTTCTGTTAGGTTCATTTGGTTCGAAGGAAATCACACACGCACCAGGAAGTCCTTCCCCTAGCAGTCTTGGGAGTTAGCCGAGCATTGCAAGAGCACCCACCCATGGTTCCTCTTCTTGTGCCTAAACCCCATCTCACTCAGTTAAACCTCTAAGAAGTGCTCTCTCATGGAAGAAGTCATGTTATTAAATGTACAATATAGTTTCATCAAAAGAATGTACAATATAGCAGCCATAGGTGAGTATGAATCATAAGATTGCATTCTTATAGCTGGGTTGATGTGGTTTTGACCCATTTGTTTAGCTACAACAATATCATTAGTGTATAAGTAAATGATGCATCTGGACAACACAGAAGCACAATAGAGCCAATCAGTGTTGTCACCCATTCTTATAGTTGGGTGTAAAATCTAGACAAACAACCAAATCTTTAGTAAGCTATTCTGACAAAAAATCTTCTAGGAGAGACAACTATTGGCATATACCAGACTAATTTACAACCATATCATCATCAGAATTTAACTAAAGGATGAATCTGCATGACAAGGAAGCGCCTCATAGTGTCAATCAGAAACACCGCAAAATAATCAAAAGAAAGATCATATGTATAATCAATCAGTAGAAACATGATCATACTTATCGAGCAATGGAACAAGAAAAGGAACACTTTCTTTAGTGAGTATAAGTTTTTGCTATGAAGCGTCGTACAGCAACATACATACGATGATATGGAAACGGGCACACAGGAAACGACATTTTATAAAAACAACAGTACAAAGATACGACAAGTATGTATAAATAATTAATAAAATGCATGCAAAGAAGACAACAAATAATCAATGCCTACGATGAAATGAGATCAAGATATTGCCCCATTTGTTGACTGAATGATCATTAATTTCCCCAACAACATAACTGAATATCTCTTGTGTCTGTATATCATTGAACTTACTCCCTGGCCAGCAAAGCAGCAATATCAGCAGGTCAGCCACAACAAGGAAAACAGTCAGTTTAGAACAAAGCAAGATACAAGCATTATAAAAATATATATACAACAAAGCATCGGCATCAGGACATCAGCGGCTCAACACCCAACGACAAAGCACCCAGCAGCAAGGTAGCAAGCACACACACATCATAGATGTAATAAGCTCGGCAGGAGGACCAGGTAGAGCTGGGATTCAGAGGAAGTAAGCTTGCCAGGGAAGGGATTCCTGGCTGCAGTGGTGGAGTTGACGCACGGTTTGGCTTGAGACGGCAGCAGGGTGACTCTAGGCAGCGGCTAGCGAATCAAGGCGGCGGCATGGACAATTTGTAAGGTGATTTATAATTTCTTCACAACATATATTTTGTCCAATGAAGGAAAGTAAGTACCTTCCAAAAATGTTTGCACACCACAAGGAAGTATGTAAAGTATAACTCCTACAATCCAGACAACGATTTCAGAGCCATAGTTGTGCTTTAATGCCTCTGGGAGCATGTAGTATGGACGGGCTAGAACTTTAGTAAACCGCTCACCTGCACATAGAAGCCTTGATCTGTGAGAAGCATTTATGCAAACACATGTTGTGCGACTTGTTCCACTGATCAAAGCAAACCAGAAAAAAGAGGAGAAAATTCAGCAACCTGCAAGCTGAAGATGAGCAGAAACAGATACCACATGGACGCCCTCTTCTGCCCTGCACTGCATCCCTCTGTCTCGGCCAGCTTCAGGTGTCCACTATTCAGCCACCGTTGTTTTTCCATGATCCCTGTTGCCGGCTCCATTTTATGCTCTGCTGCAAGGCCTTGTCATTTTGTCAAGCACAGAGTACATAAACCAAATATTATGTAGAAGCATATATAGATAGAAAGGAAAACTAACCTTGGATTGAAAATCCTGAGGGAGGAAGAATGGAAGGCACCTGACTGAAGTGGCCCGTGGCGCATCGGTAGCAGGGCCGAGTTGTCTTCTTTGCTGTCTATGTCTTCCCCATCTTCCTCACCGTGGATCACTCAACTAGCTCCAAAGAAGAGGAGATGGTGAGAAGAGAAGGGAAGGAGATGCCGGCCAATGACCATCTCCCATCTACCGCTGCACGTCCCTCTCCTCTTTCCTCTCTCCTTCTCCCTCCTCTCCTTCCTTCTCTCTTCCCCATCTTCCTTCTCTCCTTCAAGGACCGGTCCATGGCCCTGTCATCCATGAGTTAACCATGGCATGGTGGAGCAGCAGGCACCATGCAACGCGAGAGAAGAGGGAGTCAAGGGCGCATATCTGGTCGACAGAGTGGCGGGCACGACAAGGCCGACCCGAGGACCTTGCAAGGCGCTAGATCTCGTCGGTGGCAGATCTCTTGGTGCTACGGCTGGTGATGATGGAGGAGGAGCGGCAAATCTCCTGTTGCGGCGGCCGGTGATGAGGGAGATGATGCGACAATGTGGCGAGGGAGTGAGGAGGGAGGGGTTAAGGGTGTGGCTGCTGGGGACTGGGGGCTATGGTTCATGCCCACGCCCAACCACAGGCCCGCACGTCCCCACGACACCGCGCGCGCACGCGGCGCGACAGGAGAGGCTGCCCCGCGCACACGAAAAACTCACACCCAGCCAATCGGAGCCAACCCGAGCCCACATGTCATACCCCATTCAGGATCTACCACGCGGTGAAAACGACACAGATGAATTCCCAGCAAGGATCTAATGGCCAGCAGCGAAAAAAGACCGCGTTGACCAGGATCAAACGGCTAGGAAGGATGCAAATCGGGGGAGCCTCCTCCATGCGAGTTGGCTAGACTCTTTAATGGTTTAAATAAGTCATTTTTACCTAGAAAAAAATAAGAGGAGGACATTCGGGATGAAGCACCGCCGGGTCAAGGCGGAACTTGGACAGGAGCACTTTTGCCCTCCGGTGGAGCGATTCGGCCGGGGGAACTTCCCTCCAGGAGGGGGAAATCATCGTCATCATCATCACCAACAACTCTCCCATCTTGGCGAGGGCCATCTTCATCAACATCTTCACAGCACCAACTCCTCTGAAACCCTAGTTCATCTCTTGCCTTCAATCTTTGTATCAAAACTATAGATTGGTGCCCGTGGGTGACTAGTAGTGTTGATTACGTCTTGTAGTTGATTACAATAAGGTTTATTTGGTGGAAGATTATATGTTCAGATCCATTATGCTATTCAATACCCCTCTGTTCTTGAGCATGTTTATTGTTTGTGAGTAGTTACTTTCGTTCTTGAGGTCATGGGAGAAATCATGTTGCAAGTAATCATGTGAACTTGATATGTGTTCGATATTTTGATGGTATGTATGTTGTCATTCTCTTAGTGGTGTCATGTGAACGTCGACTATAGGACACTTCACCATATTTGGGCCTAAGGGAATGCATGGTGGAGTAGTAAATAGATGGTGGGTTGCGAGAGTGACAGAAACTTAAACCCTAGTTTATGCACTATTCTATAAGGGACCGATTGAATCCTAGAGTTTAATGCTATGGTTAGAATTTATTCTTAATACTTTTCTCGTAGCTGCGGATGCTTGCGTGAGGGTTAATCATAAGTAGGAGGTTTGTTCAAGTTAGAACAGCACCTAAGCACTGGTCCACCCACATATCAAATTATCAAAGTAGTGAACACAAATTAAACCAACATGATGAAAGTAACTAGATGAAATTCACGTGTACCCTCAAGAACACTTTACTTATCATAAGAAACCGTTTTGGCATGTCCTTTGCCTCAAAAGGATTGGGCTACCTTGCTGCACTTTTGTTACTACTATTGTTACTCGCTCGTTACAAATTATCTTGCTACCAAACTACTATGCTACTTACAATTTTAGCACTTGCAGACATTACCTTGCTGAAAACCACTTGTCATTTCCTTCTGCTCCTCGTTGGGTTCGACCCTCTTACTTATCGAAAAGAGCTACAATTGACCCCATATACTTGTGGGTCATCAACGCTATTTTCTGGCGCCGTTGCCGGGGAGTGAAGCGCCTTTGGTAAGTGGAATTCGGTAAGGAAACATTTATATAGTGTGCTGAAATTTATTGTCACTTGTTACTATGGAAAACAATCATTTGAGGGGTTTGTTCGGGGTATCTTCACCTCGCTCAGAACCACAATTAGTTATCCTCAACCTACTGCACCTACTGAAAATATTGAATATGAAATCCCTTCGGGTATGAGAGAACAACTGCTAGCTAATCCTTATGCAGGAGATGGAACTGAACATCCTGATATGCACATGATACATGTGGAACAAATTTGTGGATTGTTTAATCTTACAGGTTTACCCAGGGATGAAGTTATGAAAAAGGTTTTTCCTTTATCTTTGAAGGGAAAATCATTGGCATGGTATAGGCTATGCGATGATATTGGATCATGGAATTGGAATCGTTTGAAATTGGAGTTCCATCAAAAAAAATCATGTGCATCTAGTTCATCGTGATCATAATTATATATACAATTTTTGGCCTCGTGAAGGAGAAAGTATAACTCTAGCTTGGGGGAGGCTTAAATCGATGTTATATTCATGCCCCAATCATGAGCTCTCAAGAGAAATTATTATTTAGAATTTTTATGCTCGGCTTTCTCGTAATGATCAAACCATGCTAGATACTTCTTGGGCTGGTTCTTTTATGAAGAAAACTATTGAATTCTAGTGGGATCTTTTGGAAAGAATGAAACGCAACTCTGAAGATTGGGAACTTGACGAAAGTAAAAAGTCAGGTATAAAGCTTAGGTATGATTGTGTCAAACTTTTATGGATATCGATGCTTTTCAAAAGTTTAGCACTAAATATGGACTTGACTCTGAAATAGTAGCCTCTTTTTGTGAATCATTTGCTACTCATGTTGAACTTCCTAAAGAGAAGTGTGTTAAATATCACCCACATATTAAAGATGAAATTAAAGAACCAACACCAGTTAAAGAAGAAACTATACTTTATAATGTTGAT